CTCGATTGTTCCGAGGCACCAGGCACTCAGGGGTAAGGGTTTGAAGTCCCGACCCGACTGATCGCGGTTCGAGTCCTGACAGGGACACAGAAAGCTAAAACAGTTTCCAAAACAAGCGCAAGCCTCAAACAAACACAGATAAGATCTCTCTCTCGAAGGTGACCACCAGGTTATCTGGCCACACGTTCAGATATCGCCAGGGATTCTGTGTCAAATGTTTGTCCAAGTGGACAGAAATTCGTTAATCTACCCAACCAATGTGAATTTCACTCGTTTTTTTCGCAATACTCATTCCCATTAAAAGAACACTTTTTTCCAATTAACAACGCCGTTCTGTCTGCTCTCACTGCACGTCCGATTCAAGTGACATTGCGCCATTTTTACGGTTCAATGATTTCCTCCCCCCCTCAGTTCGCAGTGGAACTTCTCATTCTGCCCCACCCGACCCCGAAACACACAAAGCACGCTTGTTTAACTCAAAACATGAATGAGTCAGGATCAATCAGAACTTGGATACCGAGATAGTGAAAATGGCAGAGCACCACAATCAGTTATTCATCAAATTGCGTAAGATTAAGGGCAAGTTGCAGACGAGGAGACAGTGTCCTAAACCGGGGGGAGGGGAAACCTTGACCTGACAGAGACTAGTTAATGTCCCGCCCCGATCGGCGGTCATGGTGTTGATCAATTTGAGAGTGCGTCTGGTCACCACGGCGATTGTTTCAACAGACCAGACTTAATGGTTGTTGGACTGACCGCTCAGAGTGGAAGTGAACTGGTTTCGTGCAAAAGGTTTGAATAAGCTCAACAAATGTGTGTAATAGTCTGGTCAGTTCGTTGTAAGCTGCGGACCCTTTCCTTGAAGAAATGGTTCAGCTTTATTAAAATTTGTACTAAGTATCAGCTAAAAATTATGTTAACGCCGAATGTAATGAGATTGAGTGCATCAATTGCAGGCGTCTGTATGGGTGATACAGACAATCACCTCGATGATCGAGTTGGACACTGTCGAAGATAGCACAATTTTTCATAGACATAAACATATCAAAAAATATATAAACGAAGCAGTTAACCCACTATACATACCCCTTTGGTTAGGAGAGAGAGAGGAGACAATTACTTTCGAATATTATTATTTCTTTTAATCTATTCAGTCGCTACAGCGTAAAACAATTTGGTATGTAGATAAGAAAGCTTTGCCAACAACAGCGGTTCAACGGGTAACAGTCAGGGGAACGAGGGAAATCCGTTCCACGATAATTTGACTGACTGATTGCATCGGAAAATTTTGGTGCACACTAGACTGGATTATGCGACTCGATTAACATTGCTTTGCTAAAGGCTAAGAGTCTGCCGATTCACGCTGCGTAACAGCGGCTTGAAGGACAAAAGTGGGTCAACAATGTGTAATGAGATGTCTGGCGATTGATGACCCTGGATTTTTCCTATCAAATTTACCTCGGGAGAGTCACTGCATGTTGTGAACACTTTGGAATGTGTTCAGATATCCGTTGTGACAAAGGCCGATTCGTTATACCGATATAAGTGTCACCGCAGCTACAGATGATCGGATAGATAACAGGTGAAGCAGAATTGGGCAGCCGGCTCTGTTTTCGGGTGTCCACATATTTCCCTGATTGTACGGCATCAATCGAAGCTGTGCGACCGGAAAGGTTCGACACAATGCCGCATTCAGCTTCCAGCACAAGTAGTTCATTAGACGATCTCCCTTGGAGGCGAGTCTGAGGAAGACGCATGATTACAACGATTTCAAGGTCTCCATCTAGGAAGCCTAACGGTGCCTATGTGACCGAGTTTCCTGGTTAGGGTTTTCATACCCTCGTGCCAGGTCTTTTGACCACTCTTGGCTTTTTTCCAACCACTATCTAGAAACATTGCGCACCGTGGTCATCTATTTGGTGACATGCGTAACACATGCTCCAGCCGACGTACTCTACGGAGGTCGACCATTTGTTCCAGTGGACGACCGAGATTACCTAAATATGTGCCTAACCGCAGTATTGCTACTCTTGTTGCCCAACCATATTCGTGCAATGCTGCGTAGACGGAGACGTTCAAACACCGACAGTCTACCTTTATCCTGCTTTATTAATGGTCAGGTTTCTGCGCTGTATAGCAGAACTGAACGAACTGCAACATACACACGACGTTTCACGGACAACAGAATATCGCGGTGGTATCACAGATGTCTCAGTGCTAATCAAGCCTCCTGCATGCAAGATAACACTTCATCCGTGATATCTATAAATATTATATTTTACACCCATCTTAGGTCAGACTGTGCCAAACAAATCCTGGTACAATAATCTTTATAAAAAGAAAAACGTTCCGCGATCTGCATGTGAGCCGAATACTGTCAGGGTACCCAGGCCAAGGCAGGTGAATTTTCTTGAGGAATCCACAACCGGAGCCTTCAGCTAGCCAAAGCCTGACCAAGGCAATGAGGCGGTTTGTAAATCGCAATCCATTGGGAGTCGGTGTCCAGTCCATCGGATTATACGCCTTTTGGACGGGGTCAAACATCCATGGTGCCCAGCAGAGTCGGTGATCAGTGCCACAACCGGAAAGACGCATGTGGTTCGTACGCCTCCTCTTGGTTGGTTTGGTATCANNTGGCCAACTCCCTTAAGTGAACTACCAATGGCCAACCAATCCGGTTACAGCCCCCGAATGTTGGCTTTTCATCGTCACACTTCGGTGAGAAAACACCTCTACCTCACGAGGAGTGAGTAGGGCTTCCTCAGTTATTTGAGACGCTACGCCGTATGGGCACATTTCGCGATAAGCAAGGGAAGGATGACCAGCTGCAACCCTGGACACTCATTCCGGACCATGATGAGGAGTTCGGAGGCACTTCATCCGTGATGCGTTTGCCAGATGAGATACAGCTGCCCAAATAACAAAAATTGTCTACTTCCCGGTTAGGATGAAGCTAGGTCATTGACCTGCCCATTCTTGTAGAAACATTTTACGATTTGAAGGTGCAAAACGCATACCGAACATGGCAACACTAGCACTTAAGCTATCCAGAAATGCTTGCAACTTACCTGGATCTTCACTTAGTAGCACAATGTCGTCTGCATACTCCAGATCAGACAGTATGCCATCTGGGAGCAAAACGATGCCATTATCCTCACACGAGGATAGGGCTGTTTCCATAATCAAACCTATAACAAATTTAAATAGAAAAGGAGAGAAAGAGCAATCCTGATGAACACCACGTTCCTTGGTGAACTGGGGCGAAAAGATACTGTAAGCGCGGACTCAGCTATTAGTATACACGGATCGTAATATTGAAATAAATTTCTTGGGTACACACTTCAGAGTTTAGAGCTGCGGACCGAGTCGAGGGCTGCTTTCAGATCGAGGAAGACAGAGATGGTAGGTCTACGAAAGGAATGATGATTAAATCAACTCCTCCGTGGTTTTTACAGGAGGATCTATCACCTTTCTTGTCAATGGGTAAGATGACCGATAAAGAAACACCTTGTAAAAAGCAAACTCGCAACCGGTTCTGAGATCACAACCAAAAAACACCGTGACCAGTCAAAGAAGTAATAAAAACAAACTACTTTGCTATCTTATGCTTCTAGTATCAGTAATAACGTAGGATACATAAAAAGAAATAAGCACAATCAGCCGTATTGATCAACTGGTTGTAAAGTAAATTGACGTAAGATCAGATTTTTCAAATAATTTTTTGATGTAGTGATTCATTTTATCTTGTAATTTTAAAATGATTCAAGATAAACGTGCAGTAATGACCGCAGCAACTAAAATGGAGCCTGGATTCGACACAGACTTAGTTTGAAATATAACAACTACAATTTCGGTCAGATTACTATATCCTTTGTGTGCGCCCCAGATACATTTGCGAAGGGCCATATGCAGCCAGCAAGACATATATTTGATATTGATACTCCACAAAACACTAATGACTCCACTTCCACAATCCAAAACAAAAAATAAGATCATAAATCTAGCCTAAAACGATCAATCCAAGTCACGCAACACCTTTATTTCAATTCGATATATTCGTGGATAAACAATAAATGATAAATAGGAACGCTGGAGTTTAAGCACGGAAAACACGTGATTGTTAAACTAAATTCAACGAAGCAAAAGGGAACCGTAAAGAAAATTGCATGAATCCTCGAAAAACGAAATATTTAGGTTTTTATAGCAGAAAATATCTGTTAAACAAAAGCCTTCCCCGAGTCTCCTTCAGATGTGCCACGAAAATCCAAGCGTCGTTTAACAGAACGCAATTTTCACTTCTTGGAATCTCGATAACGGTAAATCTACTGTACATACTTTTACTACTTATGAGTAGCAAACATATGGGCACAAAATTGCCAAAGGACCAATCGCGATCATGATTATATGATGGGACTTGCGACAATTAAAATTGAAGAGAGCATGATACCAACGGAAGTAGGAATTAGCATATGCATCGACGCGAGAGATGTTACCGAGAGCTAAACAGACGTGAACACAGTTTTAACTTCAAGAATTTCCTCCGAAAACTATAATTAAGTACGCCTATTCCAGGAAATCGTATAGATGAACTCCTTTATGGCTCGGTTAACGATCTTCATGCAAACTATCACAATACGTCGCTGTATTGTGAACACACGGTTTATCATATTCACGGTAAATTGTGCAATGGAAAAATCTGAATATGGATGAGCATCACAACAGTGTTACCCACAAATGATGAGGAATTGTAAACACGAAGTATAAAAATGTGTTGCTTTATTTGAGTAAGGTAGAACCAGAGTTCGCTTGACTTCGAACAGTACCGGATTTGGCCAGAGCAGCTTCGCGTGAGGCTTGGAGATGCTCTCGCAGATCCAATGTCAAACCACCCAAACCAATTGTGGTGAAAAAATTGATCGCAAATCGAGTATCTTTCGGATTATCACGTGGCAACAAACCGGCGAAAAAAGGCTGTAGTGTTTCGTCACGCAGACGGGCGTTCAGTTTGNCAGGAAAATTCGACCAGACGAAGTGGTATCACGCTCGTTTAGACGTACACATTCGAAGACACCCCATGAGATTGAATCTGTGTACAGGAGGTGCGCAAAAAACAAGGCCACATTGCGCAATTTAGCCGTTTCCAAACGATGAATAATAGAATACTGTTCGGAGAAAATTTTTTCAAACTCAGCCACATAGCTTCGTGGTGGACCGGCATCTTGTACAACCTCCGGTTCCGGAGCGGTATTTTTCGAACGACTATAATCTGGGCCCGGTTTGTAGCGTCTTCCCGGACCTAGGTCTGGTGCTGCAGGACGAGAACCGGAACCACCACCACCACTACCGCCTCCACCCCCGCCACTGGTAAGAATGACACGACACAAACGTTGTGCCAGTCGTCCGTAACGTGTTTCGTAACTTCGGGTCTGAGCACAACAATCGAGAACCATGGAGGCAACCTCATATTCCTCACCCGGTCGTATCTTCAATTGTAACAAACGATGTCCGGCCTCATCCGCACTGAGACTGCTTTGAAGCATTAGATAAATGGTTCGCCGAAGGTGAACCAAATTGGTTTCAGTCTGATCGATCACCGTCTGTTTGTCTGTACCATCTGCGGCAGCCGCACCCTGAGGTCGTTCAGAATCCTCCTGGTCTTCATCTGATTCCCCGGAGCCACCATCACTAGAACCATCGTCGGAGTCTGCATCCCCGTCATCATCCTCATCTTCATCGTCTGACTCAAAGAACGAAGCTTTGATTTGTGCGTACTTCTCTTCATTTGCTTGGTAGTCTGGATCGAAACGGAAGACATTCAAATGATCTTCTGGATCAACCTGATCCAACAATGAAGTGGTATGTGTGATCTGGTCGTCTTCTTGGATTAAGTCCAGATCAGGCAACACGATAGGATGGTCCTTCCAACCGTCACGACGAATCTGAAGCAGAAAAGATGGTGTTCAGAAAACGGGATCTCTAGGGAAGTCAAGTCAAAAAGGAATCTACTGCATTTCGTAACATCTGAATATCGTACCATATTTGGAAGAAAAATACACATGCTTAGTTATGATTCAGAATACAGTCATTCGATCAGCTTCACATTGAAGAGGTTATCACGGGAGAAATCAGGAAGGATCGAGTGTAGGTTGTATTGATTGGGCTGATGCTGTTACACAACGGAGGAGGATAATCCCAGACGATCGGCGTTTGGACACTGCTACCTACTCGACATTGCATCAGTTTGATGAATCAATCAGACAAGCAATATCTATGCGAGGCAAAGAGTATCAGATAGTCGTGGATACACAGCAACGTGAGTGATTGAATTGTCGTGACGCATGTCTACCGAGGCATACAGAAGCTGGAAGAAGGCCAGGAAATCCTTGATCCGTGAGCTTGGTCCAGTAAGTTTGACTAGCCTCCCAGACATTTTCCCCATTCCACGAACTGCAATAATGAAGTTTCTTTCTTAGAGCATTTTACCAGTGACCTGTCGTGGTCCGTTTAACGGAAATAGAGATTAAAAAGTAAATACCCAAAACGATAGCGAGGCTGATGAGCCATGAGATTTAGTTAATATAGGGAAGCTGCAAAATCCCAACTGCGAACTTTTGAAGAGGAGGCGTGCAAACTGACCCCAATATATCCTAATCGGAAATAGTCACTCTAAATGTGTGAAACACCCAAAAGGCATAAGGTTGGATTGAATGGACATAGGCTACCAATGGACAGCGGTTTACACAGGTGCATCAGGAATTTTCGTACACCAAATAGCCAGATTCACAAACGGCCCAAGTCGAATGACCAGCTGCACTACCACACGTACAATCAATAGCCAAAAATTACAGACCATTAGCGTAGTTCTGCCAACCATGTCGATCCGGCTGTCCCCGGAACAGCTCACTGCTATGTGTTGCAGTCAACGCGTACATACGTATGCACGAACTGGGGGACAAGACTGTATATATGCGCTTGGTTCAAGCTACGTAGAACTATACGCCAATGGTATACCACTTCTAGCTGCTGATAGTATGCGCAGTAATGAAACTGATAATTTGACTGGGTCCGTTTGTGGATATCCCTCCCTGCATATATATATACTGATAATTATACAATCATAGATAAGGGGAGGGGGCCTTACACTTTTGTTATACCTCTNGGGCCTTACACTTTTGTTATACCTCTTTTGGGGCTTATCATGCTCTAATTATCACAAAGTTTTGTTTTGAAATTAGTTATTTCACATCATAATGTGCATCGAGTCAGCTTGATCATACATGATTCCGATGGAGGATATAGAAACAGAATTATGAGGGAAAATGACGGGAGTCTTATCATTTTGTTGCTTTTGTATGTAGTTTCTCAATCGGGTACTTTATAACTCGCCTAATCAATGATGAGACAATGAGTGTAACTGAGTGTCGTTAACAGCGGTGCTTACCTTTCTAAGCATATCTAGTTTGTATGAGAGGTATAGAGGATTTGATTTGATTGCACAATAAATTCATCGTGTAAATGAAACGAGAGCTGAAAAGCTAGGGAGTACTGCATAACTGTTTCGACTTGGTTGGGTTTCACCAGCAGCGCGAACCCATCGACCCAAATGGGGATCGAACTCGGTAGCAAAAGGCAGAATGCAAGCTACTATCCACTCTGTCACCAGATAGTTTTGCAATGTCACACGAGATCATGTATGCAACGCTACGTCGTGTGTAACAAAATGCGGGTTTGTAGATGACTAAGAGCTGCGCCACAGCAAATTACTTCTGTTCAACATCTTGTGCGCTTGCAGCCTCATTTGTGAAACAAGCTATTTAAAAAGTATTTTAACAGTCAATCTCTTAAAAGTAGGTCTACATTACCGGCGATTGCAGCTTCTGAACACATTAGTTACGTGGAAAACCGAATTCCTCTTCCCACATATCAATCTCCGTTTAAAAAATATCTGGCATGCTATAGTCATGCCTAAATGAGGGAACAAATGAGTAACTTTACAGCTTGATGATGTTACCAATCACAAAGAATTCTGTTCACAATGAGGAGGGTAAACTAACCTGAAACATGACTTCTAGCATGTAAGATATACGCTTGTCACAGTTCCCCTCGTTCAGAATACGTCGTAAATGCTCGAATACACCGTGCACACCCTTCGGCACTAGTCGTGTGAGCATCGCGCCGCATTCTTTCAACACAGACACGGCCACTTCCACACTGTCGTCGGTAGTCTGTTCCAGGAGAAGAGTGAGCAATTCGAGAACGATTAGCTCATGCACCACCTTTTGATTGACCAAATGTGCAAGGAACCGAGCAGTCGACAGACACCGATCTTTCTGGTTTCGACGAAACGCTTTGCGGAACTCGTTGATCAA